AACCGCCCGCTCTCGCGAGATCTCACCTCTCCTCCTCCCCCGTCCGTCCCGTGCGGCTCTCGCGATACCGCGGCTCTCGCGGGAACTGCGCCGCGCTCGCCCTGCGGGTGGCGGGAGGGGGCGAGGATGGCGGCGGACGGGGGGGAGGGCCTTGAATGAAGCGATTGACGGCACTGCGCGTCCTCCGCGGCTCCCCGTGTCTCTGCCATCAGCGCTCTCTAAAGGCAACGCGCAGAAACTGATGCGCAGGAGGTTCCACCTGAACACGAGGAAGAACTTCTTTACTGTGCGAGTGACGGCGCACTGGAAGAGGTTGCCCAGAGAGGTTGTGGATTCTCCCTCACTGGAGATACTCAAGAACTGTCTGGACACAACTCTGAGCAATGTAGTCTAGGATGATCCTGTTTGGGCAGGGGGGGTGGACCAGATGACCCGCTGTGTGATCCCTTCCATCCTGACTCATCCTGTGGGCTGTAGCGGGGCAGGCGCTGCGGGAGGCAGCGTAGGAAATCCCCCGCTTTCCAGGTGGTTTTCCCTGCTTTTATTTTGCGTAGGCCCTGCTTATTGATTTGGGGGGAAGGGAGGAGTGAGAGCTCCTACTGAATTACACCGTTGGAGAAAATCGCTCCAGTTAGAAGGCATGTGTACCTTTGAACAGTGAAGTCACTTCATTGCTTCCTGTAAAGTTTTTTGGGTTGTTTTTTTTTGCTGTCTTACAGTACTGAACAAACTTAGAACATTTTAAGTTTCCTTCCCAACTTCTTGATTTCTGATTTCATACTGTAATGAAGTCTCGAGCTCTTTTTTCCCTTTTTCTGCCCTCTCTATCCTTTTGCTTTTTCATGGTTTTACTGAATTTCCGGACTGGATCTGTGACTCTGCTGCCTGTTCCTCCACTCACCTTCTTGGGCTGACTTTCTTCCATTGGTAGCATCTGCCATACCATCTTAAATGTCATTGTGAAAGCAGAATCTGTCTTTCCCTAGGGAGTTAAAAGTCTTCCGGCCACCTTGCTATCTAATTGTTGTTAGTTAGCTTACATACATACTGGTTACTTGTCTTTGTAAAACTGTGCAAAAATAAAGAACCAAACCAAAGAAACCCACTTGTTTTTCACTGCTGTATTTCAGCTTCCTGAATCCCTCTAATGTAATAATTTCCTCTCCATTTCTAAACCCAAGCAAAAGCACTCTTCTTATCCAGGTCCTGTGCATCATCTGCTTCCAGCAAACCTCCTTTCACAAGTTTGTTACTTTACTTCACCCATCACCTCTCTGTTCCAATTCACATTTCTTACAAACGTTGCCATCAAAGCATTCATTACGTATTTCTGTAGTTATGCACACACACACATGCACTTTTCCTTCAGGCTTTCTCTTAAGGCAAGTGTCACGTGCAGAACAGCCACGCCTTTTTTTCTCCATTCTCTGATAGTGTCCCATTGGATGGTGAAGGAGAGAAGGTCCCTGTCCAAGGAGGATTGCTCAGACCTAGGCAGTGACATGTTTATACTTTGCCAAATCATGTTTATCAATATGCTGCGCCTCGTGAGACTACTGCAGGATGTAGGGGTCAGTAGCAACATGCCTCACATCTTCCCAGGAGCTGTGTTAGGTGCCATGCCTCCCAGATTCCATCTGTGGCTGTTGTGGAATAGCTTAGCTTTACATGGTGGCCTGGAGGCTGCTCTCAGCTTTGCTGGGGTCCTGTACTGCTTACTGTGTACATGAATGTTCGGCGACTCCTAAGAGGTTCTCCAGGATGTGTGACAACCCACTCAGCAAAGCCAGTGCACCATCAAGTTTCTGGCATGTTAAAAAAAATCCCCAAAACAGAACCCAGAAAGCCAACAACCCTTCACAGAGGCAGCTGTGGAGACTGTGGATAATTATACAGGGCAGATCTGGACAATGCAACACAGGCTGCAATTTCTAATTTACTCCTGAGCATTAGCTGGCACTTCTGGAGCAGGAATATGTTATTTGAAGGACTTGTGTCATTAGCAGTGGACTGATGGTGTTTTCTATGTGGAGCGAGCCCCGTGACTTGTCAGAGAAGCTTAACTAGAAGCTAAGCTCCTAATGACAGGGAGTTTACTCTGCCTGGAAATTAGCTACACCAGGTTGTAGGGGGATTTGCCAACAACAATCATGGCAGTGTTGGCAGCTGTCAGCCAATAGGCGATGGCAGCATAGGATTTGACAGTGGAAACCTATAGAATCCTGCCTGACATAACAAAGCAGACCTGAAACAGATCCCTTACAGAGAATGAAATCCTTCAGAAGCATTGAAGTCTTTGATGGCACAGTGCCAATTTTTGGCTTTGCAAAGAAAAAATTCAAGATGCATTACAACTTGTTTCCACAAGGCTCAGTGGGGAAGAGCAAATAGTAGAGAAAGGAGAGCCAGATCAGACTTTGGCAGTGGCACCTGCAGTGGTGTGAGAACCAGAACTCTGAAGAGATGGTTGTTCCACAACAAGCTGAAACCTTGTGTCATAGGAATATTGGTTGGAGACATCTCATATCTTGCAAGGTATTGTTGAATGGTCAGCACATGAAAACAGTGGTAAACACTAGAGAAAAAACAGCTGGAAAATTTTAGCCAAAATACTATCAACTCCAAAAGTATTTGGATGCCAGCTCTAGAAATGGGACCCTTAGAAGAGCACTTCCCTAACAGCCATCCTGTGGAGGAAACTTGGGCTAACATTTAGGTAACTTTTTTTTTTTTTTTTCAAAGCTCAACTTATATGCTGATTCCTTGCTCAAATATTTTTTTTGTATCTGGAAAAGCACATTAAGGCTCCCAAGAGTCTATTCTGAGCAACTGTTCACCATCGTTAGTATAATACAGTTGGTAGAAATAGATGCTGAGCTGGTCATACACTAAGGAGGAGACTGTTCCTACATGTCATGGGCAATGTTACCACTTCTTTTTCTTGTTAAGGTTTTCATTGTACTTTCTTCCTTCTGTCTTTTAAAGTTTCTGTGTCCTGCCTTTGCCACCATGTGTAAAAAGTTCTTAGCAACATCCTTCTACTGCAGCATAACTGTCTAGATTAAGCATTAAGATGAAAAAGCTTTAAGATAAAAAGAAATACGAAAAGTTTTCACTAGTTTAAGGATCTTTATTTTTCAGCAGAATTCCTCAGGGCTTGTTTGTTGACTTGGAAGGCGTTTTTCCTTAAGGATGACTTTTATTTGGTTGGGGGGTTTTTTGGGGGGTGGTGGTGGGAAAAGTTGTCTAGTTTTCGCTTTCTCCTGAGTGGCAACATGTATCTAGAATTCTTTGAATTTTTTTTCCAGTCTTCCAGTATCAACCTGCTTTTTCTCCTACAAGTACAATTTTCCCCAAACACAGAGAGAGTTAGAAATTAAAATTTGTAGCTTGAGGGGTTTTTTTGTTGGTTAAGTTTGGGTTTGGGTGTCTTTTTTTAGATAATTGTGGAAGTCTTAGAAGGCATCTTATTCTTACTCTCTGAAGTACTGTACGCTTTCACGTCTTCTAACTATTTTACAAAATATAGGCTGGTGTCTACATATACTGTCATGTTTAGTCCAGGAGTGTTTTTTATTACTACTTTTGCTATTTCTTTACTGCAACTGTATTTGCATCTTGCCCTAAGATTGTGTATTTACTGAAGTGCAATAATTCATGTTTTCCAAGGCCCTGTTGAAAAATTGACTAGATTAAATATGTCAGTGTTTATTCTTCCCAACCAGAAGAATGTTGCTATGATCTGGGAACTCAAGTGTTGGAAAAAACAGAGAAGGATAAAGACCTGTGTATTGGTTGATCAGGACACAAGTGGACTTACCAGTGAAATGTCAAATGCAATGAAATGTCATACACAGAAGGGTTGAGAGATTAATGCTGTCTTTAAGTCACTGTTACATCACTGAGTTTCTGTTCTGGTCATTCTTATTTAGAGAAAGGCAAATTCACAACAAGAGCAGAAAACACTATGAAGATCATCAGTGAACCAAGATGTTAATTTCAGGGGAGACTGGCAGAGCATGGTTATTCTAGCATAACAAAGAAGAGGAAGTCACAGTGTTCCATAAATTTAGCTTGAGGGTAGCAAAGGTGTCCCTGCCCATGACAGTGGGGTTGGAACTAGATGATCTTTAGGGTCCCTTCCAACCTAAACCATTCTGTGATTCTAGGAAAGAAGATAGAAGAGAGAAGAACTATTTGCACTAAGAGACAGAGTTAGTGCAGTCAGTTATAAACAAAATCTTATGGCTTTAAAGCCCATTCTCTTCTAAAGCAGGCTTATTGCCTGCTGCTGGGAGACACTTGCACGGTTGCCACTCACCCTGACTCCTTTGGGAAAGCAAACTATTAATACTTCCCAAAGTCGTTAGGCTAGAACTTAAGTGGTTGATACCAGATTCATCCATTGCTGAAGTAGTCTTAGCAATGGATGGAAAAGTATATGCTGCCCTCCACAAACTCAGAGCACAGAAGTCTTTTCAGATTTTTAACTACCAAGTTCACAAATATTCAGAACAATCACCCCATTTCTTAACTCAGGATGTATTTCCTCTGCTGACTGAGCCCTGCTTAAATGTACCAAGACCTTTAGTCACTCAAGCATGCTGCAACCACCTGAGGGAGCACCAAACAGCTTGTAGCTTCATGTCAGGGCCTACTTTGAATTTGACACCAAAAGCCTGGTCCCTAGAATAAGAAGGTCTGTGTCTGGTTTGAAGCCACAATAGCAACCCACACAAATGCTTTGGCAAACCATTTTGTAGAAAAGTTTCCCTAGAGGTCAGCATAGCAAAGAACATGAAACCAGAAACTGAATTCACAGGAGTACTTCTGCTGCAAGAAATCTATCATCCTCCAAGAGCACTCACTTCTGAACTGCTGCTCTTGGAGCAGCTCCTAATTCTGCAAATAAATTAAAACCATTCATGCCATTCACCACTCAAACTGTGGAATGAAAGCTAACATTTTTATTAGCTCGATACTGCCTGGGAAGGTGATATGATAACCCTAGACCTAAAGTAGAGAATTCTGCCTCAGAAATTATGGGGGTTAACTTTTCAGAGGTGCCAACAGGCTGTCTCACTGGTTTATCTCTGTTTTCCAATAATAAATGCAGCATAATTCCCTTCCCTCCCTTCCTCTTCCCTTTTTTTCCCAAGGTATCTGTTGCAATATCACTGTATAAGTACATGTTAAACTTAGGGAAGTCTACCCAAGAATATTGCACTACAATACTGACATACACAGACACTCTTTTCTCTCTGTAAGCTCCTAAGTGGTGCCCAAATTAATGGGAAATTTATGTAAACCACATATAAAATTACTTGTCTAAATTGTCAAGCTTTGTATTTCGAGTAAGAAGGGGGTGGGAGAAACAGATACGTTTTGGCAACAGCAAAATACTTCAAAGAATATTAAGCTGTGAATATTATTTAATTTTACAAAGTCAAAATTATTTTTTTTCCATTTGAAATTTTCTTTTGTATAATAAGATTTGTCTAATAAACAGTGTTGATACCAGGGAAGTACACTCCAGAAATGCCCACACAAACAATTCTACCTCTCTTTCCCACTTCTTATCTGTCTCTACTGAGATACTTCCTTGACACCTGGCAGTACAGTGTCCTCCAAACGCCAGAGCAAAAAGCAGAAAAATATCTTCACTGAAATGGTTGAAAATATCTTCACTGAAATGGCTGACAAGCGCTTGAACAGGCTGCCCAGGGTAGTGGTAGAGTCAGCATCCCTGGAGGTATCTCAGACCTGCAGATGATGCACCTAGGCCCATCCCTTAGAGGTGGCCTTGGCAGTGCTAAGTTTGCATTTGGACTCCATAGCCTTAGAGGTCTTTTTCAATATAATTCTATTCCAGCCTGATTCTGTGATTCAAGGGTTCTAGTCTCTCTACATACTGAGTCTCCAAAGTTGTGAAGAATCAGGTAGGAAAGAGAAATGCAC